CATGGGATTCTTTTTAGATAGAGAAATTTTATACAAAAAAGGTAAGGACCAAGTGTTACTATGTTATGTAAGTGTATTTAAAGCTAGAAAAATTATTGAAGAGGTGCACAATATGTATGTAGAGCACGTGCAAATGGCCATATGATAACAAGATAAGTCATGCGAGCTGGATATTACTGGTTGACAATAGAAAAAGATTACATAAACTATGGCCATAAATGTCACAAATGCCATATTTATGCTGATAAGATACATGCTCCACCCAGTGCCTTACATGTGATAGCACCACCTTGGCTATTTTCTATGTGAAGAATGAATGTCATTAGTCCTGTCACACCAAAAGCCTCAAATGGGAATATATTCATTTTTTTTATGATTGATTTTTTCATTAAATGGGTTGAAGCCACTTCTTTCACAACTGTGACAATATCAGTGGTTTGTAAATTCATCAAAAAAGAAATAATTTATAGATATTGGCTCTTAGAAAGAATCATCATAGATAATGCTAAGAATTTGAATAACAAAATGATACACTCAATTCAAGATCAAACACCATAACTCAGCTCCATACCACCCAAAAATGAATAGGGCAGTGGAAGCTGCAAATAAAAACATCAAAAGAATTTTGAAAAAGATGACTAAAATATACAAGGATTGGTATGACAAATTACCTTTTGCTCTACATGCATATCAAACTTCTGTATGCACTTCTACTAGAGCAACTCTTTTTCCTTGGTTTATAGGATGGAAGCTGTATTGTCAGTAAAAATAAAATCCCATCGCTAAGAGTCCTAAGGGAAGTGGGATTAGAAGAAGCTAAATGGATTTAAAAATGTTATGAGCAGTTGAACTTTATTGAAGAAAAGAGATTGACGGCACTTTGCCATGACCAATTGTACCAAAAAAAGATGATGAGAGCTCATGACAAAAAGGTCAAACCTTATTAGTTTCGAAAAAAGAGTTGGTGTTGAAAAAAGTTCTTCCAAGTCAGCGTGATGATAAAAGGAAATAAACCCCGAATTGGGAAATATCATATGTTGTAAAAAGAGCCTTTTCAAGAAAATCATTAATTCTGTCATAAATGGACAGAGATGAACTTCTCAGTTTTGTTAATTTTGATGCAGTGAAAAGCATTTTACTTAACACAAAAAAGGTAAAAAAAATTAAAAAAAAAACAAAACAAAAAAAGAGGGAATTAAATTAAAAACCCAAAAGGGTGACTTAGATCCAAAAAAAGTAGTTCGAGTTGAAACCTTTGAAGGCAGTTTGAATAGAGTATGGCATCACTTGGAAGGCATACCAGGGACAGTGAATTTCAAAGAACTTTGAAGTGTCAGGACATTATATCTTGATTGAGTTTTTAAAAGAGATTTAAGGCTTGTTGTCATGGTTATCTAATCATTTGTCTTAGGACATTGCTACCCCAAATAGTTGTTCCTGAATACCCTATTTGTAATTTATTACTTATCCAAATAAATGAAAGTCGTCTTATTGTTCTCTCCTAGTTTTATACATTGCCAATATATTTGTCCTTTTTTTTTGTACCTATTCATGAATGGAAGAAATGAATTTTGCACTCTAAAACTGGGATAATGATTAATAATTAAACAAAGTCATAAGAAGTTGTGTGTTGCCTTGAAAAATCAAAGGAGGTAAAGGCAAAAGATGAATGCCTCTTAAAAAAAATTGACTTTCATGGCTTTCATTGAGAGATGGTTTCTTTGCCAAGGATATGCTTCCAAGTGGATGAAAAATAGTTTTTTTGCCAAAATTGTTCCTTCAGGTTGATGAAAGATGGTTTTTTTGCTAAAGATGCACCTCCAAGTTGATGAAAAATAGTTTTTTTACCAAATATATGTATCCAAGTTAATGAAAGATGATTTTTTTGCTAAAATGTATAGTGAAGATAAATATTCATGATAATGAATGATGGTTTCTCTAATAAAGGTATGCAAAAATGAGAATACAAAAGCCTTAGTACCATAATTGATGTTTTATTTGCATAAGACATGCACTTGCACTATCCAAACCCGTGACATTAGTTCGATCATTTATTTTTCGACCTCGATATGGTCTTGGTTACTTCATTTTGACTTGCGACATCATCCCAATCATTTGATCTTAACTCATATTAGATCATCTTCAAACTCGTGACATCAGTTCGGTCATTTATTTTTAATCTTGACTCGATCCTCGTCACTTCATTTTAACTTATGACATCATCCCAGTCATTTGATCTCGACTCATGTCAGATCATCTCCAGATCTGCAACATCAGTCCTATCATTTATTTTTGACCTCGACTTAGTCCTAGTCAGTTCATTTTGACTTGCAACATCGTCCCGATCATTTGATCTCGACTCATGTCAGATCATTTTCAGACTTGTGACATCAGTCCAGTGATTTATGTTTGACCTCGACTCGGTCTTGATTGTTTCATTTTGACTTACGACATCATCCCAGTCATTTGATCTCAACTCATGTTAGATCATCTTCAAACCCATGACATTCGTTCGATCATTTATTTTTAAGCTCGACTCAGTCCTGATCGCTTCATTTTGACTTGTGACATCATCACAATCATTTGATCTTGACTTAGGTCAGATCATCTTCAGACTCACGATATCAGTCCAGTCATTTATTTACGACCTTAACTTGGTCTTAGTCACCTTTCAATTTACGACATCGTCTCAGTCATTTAATCTCAGCTCTGGTCAGATCATTTTACTTTCGATTTGAGGTTCCCACCAGTTAGTTTTACTCACTGATTTAAATTGAGTAGAGTGGGTGTTTGAGTCTTTACATCATTTTTATTTAACAAAGATATGTAAAGAGAGGCAGCTATAGACATCCATTTATGTTAGAGTCCTATTTGACCCATCGATCTTCGAATCCAATCAAGCCTGTTAACGTTTGAGCCCAATTAGGCCCATTGATGTCTAGACCCGATCGAGCCCATTAACATCCGGGCTTAATTAGATAGTTGTAGACACCCATTTATGTTCGGGTCTTATTTGGCCATCGATGTCCGAGTTTGATCAAGCTAGTTGACGTCCAAGCCCAATTAGGCCCACTAACGTCCGGCCCCAATTCCGGACCCGATCGGGCCTGTTGACATCCGGGCCCAATTAGGCCTATTTTTGTTTGGGTCAAATTAGGCACTTCCATGCCCAAGTCCAATTAAATAGCTTTTTTTTTTTATATAAATTATTATTATCATTGTTATTATTATTATTACCATTATTACTATTATTTTATTTTATTTTTATTATTATTTTTTTCTTTTTCTATTTTTTTTCTCTTTGCTACTTTTTTTTTAGTTCATATGTGAAAAAATAGAATCAAGATCAAATTTCCTTAGTCAAATTCAATCAATGACTACTAAAATTTTGGACCTAAAATCTCATTTAGATAGAATACAATCTCTTGAATCAAGCTTGGGATTGATTCTGTCCATTTCTTAAAATTATTCTAAAGGTTGCCTATAAATTGGACTAATTTCTATACACAGAAACACAAGAGAAAATTTAAAGGAAATTATTAGGAGAATTTTGGCAGTAAGGGTTTTTGGGGTTAAAAATTGGAATCTTGAGAGTTGATTCAAAGTTCTGGTTTGATTATAGGTGTCTGGAGTTGAATTTAAGGTTGTAGAAGGTTTAAGACAATTTGGGAATTTTTTTGGAATTTTCTAGATTTTTTTCAAATTTTTTTTGTGTTTTTTTGGGTTTTTTAAAGAACTTTGAATTTTTCAATGAATTTTAGACGACTGGTTGAAGCTTTCAACCAGATTCTGGTGAGATTTCTAGAATCGGACAGGTTTTTCAGAAGCCAGTGGGTTTTTCTATTTTCAATTAAATTTTTTGATGAAATTCCCAGTTTTCGGTTAAATTTGCGAAGGATTTTTTAGAAAGAGGTAAGAGGAAATTAGGCTTAGAGAGAGAGGCTCGGGTGGTTTTAAGAAAAAACACTAAAAGGTGCCATATAACTAGCCTAGCATGACATCGTTTAGAACCAGCCAGGATCCGCGAATAGACTCGGTGACATGTGTGTTGACCCGTGCCTTGACCCGACTCGATCACAGGTTTTTTTTTTCATTTTATTTTTAATTTATGATTTTATTTTATTTATTTTTAACCTATTTTATTATTTTTTGGTTTTATTTATTATTTTTTTCTCTAAATAAATTTTTTTTGTCACTTTTATTTTCAAAAGGAAAAAATACAAAAAAATGAAGTTAAAAAAAAAAGAGAGAGAGAAATAATTCTACAAAAAAATATACATATAAAAACAAAAAAAGAATATATTTTCAAAATAAGCAAAAAAATGATTTTATCCTCTAAACTATTAGAAGTTACTTTGAAGTGAGTCCTGTCAAACTATTGAGAGTCTTTACTAATTTTTCTGGAATAAAAATTAATAAATTTGACAACAGAGTCTCTTCAGAGTGGGACACTAGTCTCCATGAATACTCATGAGGTGAGAAAATTACCCTAGATTGCTACCAAACTATTGAAACAATTTTAGGGTTAATTTTCAATATTAAACTATTTGGTAAAATCATAAAAATGATCAAGGCTTGGATAATTCGAAGTCAAATTGGTACCATCTTATAGATGGACGTTATGGGAGTGCTACAACATTCCCCAAACGTAACCGACTCTCGAATCTAACATTTGTTTTGCATATTAGATTCAATCAGGTGCCCAATCACACATAACCAAAAAAATATTGTTGGCAACTCTTTTCACCATGTCTAGTGATAGATCCACAGATCTATAGGTTATGACACATTTAGTTGTGATTATTTTTTTACGAGAAGCGTACTGATACTATCGCTTATAAAGATTGAATTGGAAAATAAGAAAAACAACAAAAACAAAGAAGGAAAATTACATTTGCTCCTACGTACAAGTATGCTAAGAGCTTAAACAGTTGTCTCAAAGATGATCACATATTATTGATGGACTCGTTTACTTCTATTTATTCATGCATAAATCACCATTAACCCCCTGTGATGAAATATCTTGGAGATGTCAAATCATCATTCGAATTCGACTCCAAGATGTTCCATCGGATCCCATTTTCGATTGAGGTGTTCAGATAAGTCTGACTTATTTGCCACTTACTGCCGTCTGCTTGCATTTCGCACCGCATATACCCCTCAATCGAACCATCTGTCGAATACACATTTTGTTGAAATGATCTCTCCATGATTTGTTGATGACTGGGATATTGCTCTATCGTTTGATCATCTGTATACATTATTTTATGTAAAATGCTACTAAAAGGAAGAAAAAAAAACTCAAGTTTAATAATGTTATGAAAATTGCTTGTAGAGGAATTACCTTGTGTGAGCAGGCCAATCTCATGGGAACTTCCTTCTATCTCTTCCAAGGAAGACCAATTTACATATGCTTGTCTGATCAAATTTTCAAGATATGCCTGCAATTGCAAATGCCATATATAAAATAGATGACTATTATAGACACTTAGGACCAAAAAAATTAATTATTTAGCTTAGCGACACATACTCTGTTAATGTTACTCAGGTTGTGTGTGGGATATATACTCCCATTAATCTCTGCTTTCACGAGTTGGCAAATGGGATTTAAGAAGATTGTGTAATTCGAGCCTCGAAAAACATAATATTCGTTGCTCATAACACAAGTTTTTGCGTGTTTGATTATGACATCCCACATTTTCTCAGACATTCCAGGACCTAAAATCTGTTCAGTATCATATTGAAATTGAATTATTTCTGTTTACTTGAGAAAAGAAAACACTAAATTCGCATCTGGCCTTGTGATGGCAAATTCTTACCCTTCTGAGCTTGGCTGGATCAACAACTGACATTTTCAAGAAGGCTTGCACTGTTTTAACTCCTGCAAAGGTTAGCCTTTTATGGAATACTCCATCCTTTCCAATCTTTTCTAGACGCCAAACTTCATCTCCCAACATTGGCGGGTGATGTTTCTTGTACACTTCAATATGAAAACAAGGAAAAATTATCTCATTTCTTGTATTAAAACCCAAGAAGCATAAGTAGTGCAGGCAGCCCTTTGTTGACTGAAAATGACTTGAATGGTTTGCAACCATGAAAAGGGAATGCCCCTATCTAAATGGTTTAGTGGTCATAAGCCATAGGATTTTTTTTTTTTTTTTTTTTTTTTTTTTTTTAACATAGGATGTTACAACATGAGAACTGAAGGAGTTGTAGGGGATGGAATTTGAACTCCAAATCTATTGAATATCATTTTTTAAAGGCGACTATATAAATCAAATGAATTAAACTCTTAATCCATAGACCCATAGTTTAACTATATTAAAATTACTTATTTGACCATGTGTCAAGTATTTTAGACCACATAGTTAATGAATTTTGTAGAGTTTAATCCAAAAGGTTCTTCAACCTTAATTAAAATGATGCATTAACCAATTATAGCTTGTTAATTATTGTACTAAATTGATATCAATATTACAGCATAAATTCTCAATAAATGTTTTAGTAATTGAAATTAAAATTTTTAATTTGCTAGTTATGTCTATCAAACCTAAATTTTGATAAAGAAAAAAGTAATGTGGATTGATGAGAAAGAAGTATATCCTGTTGTATTTAAAAAATATATGAATAAATTATCTTTATATTTGCCTCACTGGAGTAATCAAGCAATTATATTTTTGTCTTAATTATTGCTCAGATGGTTCTTAATTCATAGGTTAACAATTCAAGAAGTTAACTCGTTTTAAAAGAAAGAAAGCATTATATAGATTGTCTCTCACTTCCAAAAACAAAAGGTAATTGGTTTGATTTTATGTGTTAACAGTATGGTTTGGTCAGCATAGAGTTTGAGTCAGCCTAGATTTCTTGGGTTGGTATATTATAAGATCAGTATTTATCACCAACTTTGTTAAACAAAAGGGGCAAAGAGTTTTAAAACAACAATTTAGTAAGACTATTATATATCTCAATCTTTAGCTAGCTGCATTCTAATAAAGGTGTATAAAAATTTAGTTATTTGTCCAAACTTGAAGATTTGTTCAATATTTAAGAATATTTAGATAAAAATATTAAATATGTTAAACAAATCATGACACAAATATAAGGTCTTTTTGAAAAACAAATCGGATTTTGGCTTCAAAATCTAAGGTCTGAGTTTAGTTGATTTAGTCCATATTACATAAAATATATATTATTTTGTATATTTATATATTTATATAATTTATATTATATAAAAGATAAACATATATAACGCTGTAATGTAAATATTAGAAAATATGTTAAATTATCTAGGTTTTGAAACTTGATAAAAAAGAAAAAAATACTAAAAATTAAATAAAGATACTATGGTTTGTAATTTAAAAAGGTTATTTAGACAAATTTGGGCTATATCATTTATAAATTCAGACGAGTTTGAGTAAAATTTAAAATCCAAATTGTTAACTCAGACTAAATTTGAATAAATATGTAAGATATTCATATTATATTTAGACTTGAGCCGAGCTCAAATTAACCTATCATGATTCAAAAAAACCTTTACGTCATATGCAAAATATAATATCTAATAAGGAGATGAATATATGCAATACTTTTATAAAGTGTTATTAAAAATTTCTTAGATTATCATTTTAATATTCCTTGTTGATAATCAAAAACTAGTAATTAAGATTGATTATAAATTCAACTTTTAAGATCTTAAGCCACCTAACATCTTGACCTAAAAGTGCCCGAAAGGAATTAACATATATGATATACATATATATATATATATATATATATATAAAGAGAGAGAGAGAGAGATAGATCTTAAGCCACTCAACATCTTGACCTAAAATATGCCCGAAAAAAATTTACGTATATGATATATATGTAGCAGTACTAAATTCTCTTACCCAATGTTCTTTAGAGTGATTATGAAAATATTCTCACATGGAAATGATATTTGAAAAAACGTTGTTTTAACTTAACTATTCTTTCAGTAAAGAGAAGAACGAAAACTTACATTCGCCACGATGGTCTTTGACAACAAAAGCTTGAGTCATGGCTTCTTGAATGCGGACATCCTGGGAACTCCCTTGTGCAACTTTCGCACCGATTCTGAACTTCCGGCTTCGAATCCAGCTCGAGTTATCTGTAAATTCAATCTGTCCGATCGAAGCAACTCCATCCCTCACTGTGACTGCCAACTCACCGGTAAGCAAGGGCCGTTTCCCAGTTCTAGCCCTCACGATGTTTCTATCAAACTCTTTACTAGTCCAATTGTTACCGTCATCCGAAGGAAAATCCCCATTAAGAACGACAATATCTACCTTAATTGGGTTTGGGAGAAGCACCGGAACCATTTGGTCTCCCCTCTTATCAACCAAAAGGACTTGAAGTTGGTTGCTTTCTTTATCCATGATCTTGCTCCCCGTAAAGATTGGTAGGGAAAGGCCTTTAGGGAAAATTAGCTGAAGAGTTGATGGTTCCGGTGCTTGGGTTCGAAGAGATGGAGACCCACTGAAAGAACCGAGTAAGCGTCCAAGACTACGCTCTACTTCTTCATTCACCTGGAAACATATCAATTAAGGAACTTTTATCAGAAATTGTTACCGACTGAAGAATGTAACAAAATACTCAATCTTTATGCATGAATGGGAAATGTTAATTTCATGCTAAAAATAGGTAAACAAGTACGTTGAAGTGCACCTATATATTGTCGCTCAAAAAAAAACTTGTAATCTTATATGATGATTAATCTTTCATTATAAAAATTTATTTTCTAAGCAATGAAATGTATTGACTTCTTAATGAGAATTATATTAAGAAAGTTCTTTTACATACCACTCTTCTAAGGACTGGTTCCAAGGCTCTACAAAAGCAATTCACCATAACAGCTTCCCCAATCACACTGTTAAATAAAGAAAATTGGCTTTGAATAAATATATAACGTTTTTATATGAAAAGGCAAAAGCTACAATTGCACCAAATGGAAACAAATTAACAATATAAATAGATGAGAGAAAATGGTTTTAGATTTAATCCATATAGAAACGAGAGGACAACGGATTTGAGCAAAGAAGTCAATAAGAAAAGGTGATATAAAAACAAATTATAAGCATTTCTTACAGAAAATTCTAAAACATACGAAGCAAGAGAAGGTCTAGGTCTCATCCGTTTCTCGTTTTGCTCATGTGGGTCGGAACAAGATTCACTGAGAAGCCGCTTAGCCGCCATTTTTCAGGTGAAAAATATATATTCTCAAAGATTTGAGGGCCAAAAAAAAAAAAACAAAAGAAAGAAAAAGATGACCAAAGAAACAGAGACAGAGATGATGAGCTAGGGTTTGGGGATTTATGGCGTTAATAAAACGATGTTCAAGGGAGTATAAATACATGTAAAGTTCCTAAAAATAATAATTAAAAAGAAGCTTCTTGGAACGTTGGAGGAAGCAGCAGGGTAACAGCCCCGGAGTGACCTAGTTATATCCTATATGTCTGATGTAATGACTTTTTGACGTCAACTCTTCTTTCAGTCTACAATTTATGTCTTTTTTATTATTATTACGTTGAGAAAAATAAGTAAAAATGACATATCCAAACATGTCTAAGCCCTTAGATACTGATCCAACGGTCAATAGAATTAAACCTGAGATAAGATTATTACCAGGACTGTGATGAAACAATGTTTAGAGCTTGGCGACATCAAAATGTCCTCAATTGCCTCGTTTCTTAGAAGTATCGACATTGTGTGGGCCCTGCTCCAGTCCCCAAAGTTTTCCTTTAAATTATTTGACTTATCTTTGTCTAATTTTTCAGGTTAACAGCCCTGCATGCAATAGGAGTATCATCATCTTTTGTTTAGGAACAGATCAGGTGTTCATGGGTTGGGTAAAACCCAACTGTCATTTTCAAAACCCAAATCCGAGTTTAGCCCATCTTCTAAATATAGAACTGAACCAAAAATTGTGAATTCCAAACCTGTAAATGATAATTAAAAGTAATTGAAAAAAAAAAAAAGCCAAATCCAACATAATTGAACAATTTGTACAGTCATAAATACAAATATAGCAAGTATTATAAATAATATTATTGCAATATTACAATGAAGTTGTATATAATTATTTATTAACAAGCTTATATATTGAGTACGATGTAATACAGCTATAAAAAATTTGTATGATGATGAAATTCTTTAAATAAAGTGTTTGTTTTAATTGAATTAAATGAGTAATACCAATTTAGCTTACATTAATTGATGAATGGATAAGTGGACATGGGTGGGCAAATGGGCATAAGAAATTATTGCCCTCATCAATCACATGGGTAATATATTGTTATTTTCACTGATAATAATAGATTGAATGGGATTAAATTTTATTTATTTTTTAGATAATATATAGTACTATAAATTTTTAAAACTTGATTTAAATTTGAATTAATTTTTTTTAAATTAATTCGATTTGAATCAAATTCTTTTAGTTCAATTTGATTTATCAATTTTTTATATTTAAATTTTATTTTTATACATTATTTTAATATGATTTTTAATATATTTAAATAGATTAGATATAAAATAATTATTTTTATTTTATTCAAATTTTAAAAAATATATAAAAATTAATAAAAATATATAATTTGACTTTATACAGTTTTTTTTTTTTTTTTTTTGCTTTTCACTTTTGATACAAAATCTAATCTAAATCTATAATATATATATATATATTTAATATTCAAATTTAATCCAAATTGAATAAAAAAATCAAATCAAACTTTACAATTTCGAATGACTTTCAATTTTCAGTTTTTTTCACCTCTAGCTACCTCACTAATTCAATTCCATATAGAAAAAAAAAAAAAGAAATAAAATAAGTAAATTTTATGTTATGCCCTAAATTTATTAGTCTACATTGCAAATTAAAGAATTGTCAATAAAGACTTATTTAACTACACTAAGTAGAAACAAACTAAAAGTTCATGACAATTGAAGCAAATCTCAACAACCTATCCAAAGCATTTGGTGAAAATTTCCTTGCAAACAAGTAGCAAATGAAGGTTTCTCTTCCATTATAATCGCAACGGGTGGAATTTCTTAACTTCTCCAAAAATTCCTTGGTGACATCCTCTCTAAGAAACACAAATGGATGAGGTCCTCCCTTGGACCAGTCCACATATGTCAAAGTCCTATTTGAATTTCTCTCCGGAAATTTCATATTAACAAATGTTGGCAAGTAATGCTCATCCCCATAACATTTACCATAGCAATAACGCCTGAATACAGGAAAATATTTTCGGTCGGAGATTACCTCAATGGCAAGAAAACGATCCATCTCAAACCATTGAGCGCCCTTTCGCCATTGCTTAAGATCAACCACAGGATGCATCAGGTTGTTATATCGGCCACGGCCTACAGAGCCTCTTAAATCATACGACTCCACAAAGGATTTGTTTGAGCGTATAAGATAATTATAAACAGTAGAAAAATTGAAAAGAGGAATACATGCTTCTGAAAGAAGAATGAAACGTTCATTAGAGATATCAAGCAAAGCATTTGCTAATAGGCGACGTTCTGCTTCCACCATATTCATTTCGCCCCATCTCACAGTCTACAGTAGTTCATGTTCAAATAATACTGTTAAAAATTAAGGGTCCAAGACCAGATAATAATGTTTCAAATATGTATACAAAGGTTAATTAGTGCAAGCTTTAAAATGAATGGTTCAAGTACTTGACTAAAATTTATCCCATAGGCATTAGTTTTTTGAATCTATTCTCCGTCATTTAAGGTAAGGATAACAATTTTTGTTAGCTAATCTATTTGAATTGAGTCTTTTCTTTTTATCTTTCATCATCACCACTTCATGAAGGGGTGCAACTGTGACTGCTAGCCAGCCACCAACAGATTGAATTAAATTGACTTAAAGAATATATACATACCCCTATATATGAATGAAGTCTCAAATTAACAACCCTAGAACAGACTTTTGTCAAGACGCATTTATTTTTGCCTTATGTCACGCCTGGAACTCTGTGGACTAATGTGACTATCATTTTGACTTTTGTTAATGCTTAAATCAAATATCTTGTGCTTTCTAGTCTACTCTAGTCTAAAGTATAGCATTAAATATTTGAAAGGGTAATTCTTTTCTTCGTAAAAAATTTGATTATAGGAATCTGAAGATCATATTTGTAATGATGTCATTGTTAACTATATAGTAGTATTGTGTACTTAACTTTGAAAGACAGTCACCTTCTCTATAGAAAATTAGTTTCATGACTAGTAATTATGCAACAAATTTGATGGTTGCAGATTTGATCTGTAAGTAAAACCAGAAAACTTGATTTGAAGTTCTACAAAAAAGAATGCATATTAATTATATTTTAAAACTTGTCATTTTATATTAAATTTTGTTCATTATAATTATCAATTAATAATAAAATTTATATTATGGATAGAAAGGCTTCTAATTATGTTGAAATACTTTCCAAAAATTAAGAAATTTACTTCTAATATAATACTAGGAAAAACTTATCATCACTTTTTTTAATAGTGTTACTGTTTATATTGAATCGTTATAGTTGATAAAATTTTAATTCTAGTAATATTTTCTTGATATGCTAGTTTTAAAAATATTAAATTACTTTTAAATTGTAATTATTGAATTTCAGTTGTTTATTTAAAAACATTTGCATTTATATACTATATAAATTCCATTATAGTTTAAAATTATTAAAAAATATTTTTATATTTTATATTAACAAGAGTTGAGAAGAGTGAACAGTAATGTTAGCCAAGACTCGAGTTCCCTAATGGACGTATTCCAGAAATAAATTGTTCATTTGATCATCATTTCATGTACAATATTTATTTTCACAGTACTAATTAATAGCTACCTTAACTTACCATAACAGATCATAAACCATAAATAATGTGATTTTAATTTGAGTTTTTTTTTTTTTTTTGCCATTTAATCTGAGCTGTTAATTTTTAATTCTTTCTTTTGAAGTTGGTGCGTTACATTTCAAACAAACTTTATATTACCATAATAAAGGGCCCTTATTTAATAGAGCATCAAAACCAGGTTTCCTAGCTATTCCTCATTTTTATTTCTTTTGGTTGTAAAATCTTTATTATGGAAAGTAAATCACAATTTAGGCAATATTTTCATTCCAAATTTTATCATCCTCACTAAAAACCTTTACTCTTATAATCTTTTTGACCAAATTTACTCTTAGAATTTAATGTAAATTTAATATTTAATTTCATAAGTTTATCATTATATTTAAAAACGGATAATTGAATTTACAATTTACTTATAAATAGTAAAAGTTCAAGTCAATTCAATTTTTTTATCATATCAATCATGAATAATTTTTTTTCAATGTATATACCGTTGCACTTATATTATTATCAAACAAATATTTAAATATTTTTAATTAATTTATATTTGACAAGTATGATTTACATGACTATTATATAAAATTCAATGACTGAATCAATAAAATATAAAATGATATAAAATTAAATTAATGTTACACTAATATAATTGAATCCATTTTTATATATTAGATATATTGAATGATATTAAAGAAATAAAAATGAATCCGAGAATAATTAGCTATGCAAAATCATTAAAACTATAATGAAGGCGAAAAACGATGATGAACTAACCTTACTGGGGATCCGCCGGCCATAAAAAACCGAACTCTTGAGCACTGTTTGATTGAAAGAAGGATCGGAATGGACGTAAATGGAGTATAAACCTTGATATCCTTGAAAGAATTTCTCCCAAAGTGGAGCTAATAACACTTTCCCTCTCGTCAAAAACAAAAATGCAACTTTGGGGACTCGTTTGAATGGGAATTCTTGGATTTTCAGAACCATTGACGCCCTCCAAAACAACTCCTCGTCCTTCATAGTATGCATAGTCTCCGGCGGTTCAAAAACTTCCTTTATATAATCCCTGGTTTTTTTCGAAATGAAATTGGTCATCGATGAAGATGGCAGAGGTTGTTGTGAAATGGGAGGAGATGGTTCAAAGGCCGATATTCGGTTTTCCACAAGGCTTTTGGTTTGATCGGAAATGGAAGGTGGCGGTGCCAGAGGAGGATTAGTTAGATCGGAGGCATGGTAGACAAAGAGTTGGTCAAGTTGGCAAGCCAAGGAACTTTCTCTGAAATAGAAGAAGCTGAGAGAGATGCCTAGGCCTAAACTTAAACCAAAACCAATTAGAAGAAAACAGAAAACAATATAATTGAATCGAATATGTGCATTGAAAAGTTTGGTGGTGGATATTTGTGAAGGCTGCTGCTCTACATTCTTCATGGCGAATGAGGAAGAGATAGCGGCGTAGGGGGTGTTCTTGGAAATGGATGGAGAACACAACTGGTTATTATTATTACTAGATTTAAGCCTGTGTTGCACGATAATTTTATTATATAATAATTTTTAGATAAAATAAAATGAAAATTTTAAATACTAATAGTTGACTAATAATAACAATGGATTAAAAGTAATTACACCAAAAAATTTTGAATTAGTAATATTATTTCATTTAATCTATAAATATAAAATAAATAGTAATAAAAATAAAATCAATTAAAATTTTAATTGAGAGATAATTATGCATACAAATATTTGAATATATAAGTAGCAAATTCCTTTTTTATTTGAATTTGTAATTGAATTTTTTTAATAATTTGAGACTTTTATCAAATTCAAATCGAAATTTATATTATTATTGAAAGTCAAATATTATCAAGTAAATTAATTTGGATATATGATAATCAGAATATATATGATACTAAATTAGACTATCACATGTAAAAACAATAAAACAACCACAAAATTTGATAATTTTTTATTATATACTACTATTTAAAAATTAGAGTATTATTTATCAAACAAACAATAACAATTTTTATTTTAAGAAATGTTATATTTACAATTTTTCATAAAAATTTATTTTTTAATGATAAAATACATTGTTAATATTCTCATAAAAAATTAAACTTATCAACTTCAGTATATATAATACTAAATAATTTATTATGCACACTTAACTATTTTTTGCTAATTGTATATTCCAATATATTGAAGGTAATAAAAGTTCACATTTAGATTTAACTCTTTTTAAATCCAAATGATACTGTATGTTTTTTCTTAAATTATAAGAAATTCAACTTATTCTAAACGTTTTAAAAAATTTTCACTCCCTTAAAAATTTTGTAAAAAAAAAAAAGCATAGTAAAATGTTGAATAAAAAATCACCTTTTTGAATTATTTGGTGAAAATAACTATAATTTACCGTGAACCTTATAATACTTATTATATGTATTAAAAATTGAAACAAAAAAGTTGCTTTTATCAATTCTCATATACTTGGATAGTAATTAGCTCTAATTCAAATTCAATCATGAAAGTGATAATATCAACGCAACAATATAATATTAGAATGACCAACAAAAAAAATCATATCATTAAGAAAAGAAATAAATCGATTCATTTCATACAAAAAGTAAAAAATAAAAAACATACTTGATACATATGATAGGATAGGTAGTAAGTGGTAAGTGATCACTTTTCTTTAATTTATGGCCGAGCATGCTCCTTTTTTTCATGATAAAGTATAATAGGAATTTGGTATATCAATGATATCATAACAAAAACTAAAAAATATATATAAAGATATCTACAATATATGTATAGTTTAATTTATAATAGAACTAATTGCACTAATCAAAACTTAAAAAGAAATTCAAAACATTAAATTTTCAAGAAATTTTGCTAATTTTAAAATTTCTTTTCAAAATAATTTTTTTCAAAAAACAAATTATTATACAATGATGATGATGAATTAATCTAAAAGATCTTAACAAAAAAAAAAAAAAAGAAGTACCTAAGATAATACAAAACCAAACATAAAGTAATTTGTGCATCTAATCCAACTATATATAACATCACAAACCAAAAGAAAGAGAACGTAAGCCAAATTTATTACATGGCAAAAGAATATCACGACAATGGAAAAAAATATTGTAGGGATGCAATTTATTTCTTAAGCATCCCCAAACACCCTTAATTATATGATAAGTCTTGAAAATAATTATGGGATGATAAGTAACTTTTGAATATCTAATTGATTAAAATGAATTTAAGAATCAAATTAAGATCAATAATAGTATTTTAAATTAAAAGTAATTTATGCTTGACAATTAGAATAATTAAACATATTATGTATTTAACATGTTTGAGAGAAATGAAAAAATAAGGATTTTGAAATTAGTGTAATAATGGTAATGAAATTCATTTTATTTGATATATTCCAAAATTAATTTTAATTGATTTATTCATCTATTAATCATTTTAGAATTAATATATATACATATTAAATGTGTATACATAGCTTAAAAGGTGGAGTAAATAAATAAGTCATAGATTTCAAAATTGAAAATTGATTTTTTTTACACATGTAATTTAAGAGTTGAATATTATAATTGGAAAAAAAAAAAAGAATACAAAATTATCTTATAATAATGGCAATTAAAGTTTTTTACCTTTAATATGAATTTAATTTAGAGTAATTTAAAGTAAATAATAATAGAAAATAAATGTAATTAATTTAATTTTTAAAAATAATTCAAATATAATGAATACATTTAAATATTTTAAAATTTAAATGAAACCAACTAAAATTAATTAAATGCAAGTCACATGTCGATTGTTTAAGATCATACAAATGTAAAAATAATAGACCATCCACCTTTGATTTTTTCCTTTTTTCCCAAAAGTTTTAGCTTTTATATATTTATATAAGATTAAATGTGAAATTTAAAATGAAATTATAAACTTTGCTAATAACTGCAATAAAAGTTTTAGGAAAATGAAAAACATAACATAGTTATTAGAGTATTATCTATTTTGAAAAAAATTACTAAAAAGGTCATTATGGTATTAAAATAAACAAGAATATGGAATGATTTGACTCAAGAAAATATGGAATGTGCTGACTGGTTTTGAAACTAGATATGGAAAGGAACTATAAAAAAATATGGAAGAACAATAAGTGAAAAAAAAAATCACATTTCCATATTTTCCTTGATTTAATTTCTTCCCATATATATTATCTCCTCCACTTGTATTAAAACAATTATTATAAAAGCATTTCATATATAATTTTTTGTAATAATTTTATAATTATTTAATCACATTTAAATACAATGTAAGATACATCACTTATAAATTTATAAATGTAAATTTCTTAGAATATTTTGATTTAAACTACACATAATTTAATATTATGAAAAATTAATTATAATAATAATTACAAGAAATATACTTCCATCAATATCTCCAATGATGTGATATGTTCAATTCTAATTTTGAATTTATCTCTTCTTTTCATTTTTATGAATTTTTGTCTTCTTTAATTGTTTTGTAATTTTTGTTTTCTTTTTCATTTTCCAAAGTATTCTCATCAAGTTGATGAAGATATTTAAATTTAAATCTTAAATTGATTTCCTTAATGATTCCCATAAAAAATGTTAATTACTAGTAGGAAAAAAGCTTCATAGAGTTTAGTTTATGCATATGTTTATTCCTAAACATATTTTATGACCCTATCAACCTGACCACATAGTGCCTGTGAATTCTTTCTTTTAAGTTTGATGTCTATCAGTGCCAAGTTTCGAGTTGAGATTCAAAATCCTGAAATCACAAGAAATGAAAGAGAGTGGTTAGGGCAAAAGTAAGGAGTGTTCCCTACATTTGTACTCTAACGTTCAAGTCAGATGTTAGGATTAGAAAGGTCATAAAGAGAGGAGAATAAAAATATAAAAGAAGAATGGGATTAAATTGATGGTACTTGCATGGCTCTAACAAAGGTGAGAGGTCTATGGGGCAAGATAGTGATGTAGCTGGGTTGATGTGGCACTTACATGTTAGCTCAATCCAAAAATTAAAAATGCCCCTAGTTGTCTGCTGATAGTTTCTAATGAGATGAATGACCAATTTACCCTTTGAACCTTGAAATGCCCTTAGGATTCATCCTTTTACTAAATAATCTAGGTATCAGACTAATAGGTGTCTAATTAAACCCTTATAGTGCACATATTTACTAATCTAACCTTGAGCTTTTGAATATGGGTCTTTGAAAAGTTATGTAAAGGATCTGACCTCATGTTGTCGATGCTAAATGTCATCAAGGCTAATGTGAGAATTAGGTAAAGGAGAGATTTATCATTACTTTTGATTGTAATCTCGGCTGCCTTAGAGTGTGTTGACCTACATGTTAATATAGGTACTGAGCTTGTTCTTGAGCGTAAGTTTTAAGTTTTATGCATAACCAGTTCATTTTAAAGTTAATGAGGTAAGTGTCTTTATGTCAGAATAAGGCTGAGGTTAAAGCAAGTATGTTTAAGTGACAAATGACATGACTCATGTGTTTGATATGAGACTTATGCTTTTTCTATCTACAATAATCCCCAAACCTAGCTCAAGCTTGGCCTGGCAATTTATTCGTTCAATCAATTCGTTCTGGGTTTTGTGACCATTCTAGCCAGTCTAAATAGGTGAAATGACTTAATTACCCCTCAACTATTTAAAAACTGTATTTAATGAGTAAAAAGGTATTTTGGCAATAAGAATCCATAGCTGATAAGGTGAAAATTCATGCTTGGTAATCTTTTGACATGTGGCATAATCTAGGCCATTCATCTAATCTAAACATTGGCTATATAAGAGGCTTTTTTAAACCTTCATTTTTTCACCTTACTACTTTTTGCTCTCAAACTAACCAAATTTTTTTCAATTTTAAAGTTCTTAACTTTTTTCAACCAACCTTATTTCCTTCCTACTTTGGTATTTTTTTTTTTTTTTTTTTACAATGTTCACTAGTGTGAACTTTAAGGGTTCAAAGAGTTATAAGGTAGTTTCCAAAAGAAGTCAACTTAATAGCAGGAACGACAATGATAGGTTCCCCTTAGTCATTGTGAGGAAAGGCTATAGCAGAATGATATATTGGCTGAATCCAATGTCTGAATAAGAGTAAAAAAGAGTAAAAGACAATGCCCATGCTAGGGGAGAATGGGTATTTCAAAGCATAGATAAGCTTTGTGATGCCATTGACTTTGAGCTTGAAAACCCCTTCTTTTTTTATATCTTAGGTCAGTTTGGGTTTTTCAGTCGACCATCTTTCTACAATTCCTCCTTCCAAGGTTTAGCCTTTTCAGCTTTTTATTCTTTTTGCTTCTTCTACTAGTTTTTCATCTACTCAACCTTCTATTCCCCTTGTTGCTTCCTCTGGCCCATCATTTGTTTCTTGAGTT